TCAATCAATCAAATGTTTAATTAATCAATCAATCAAATGTTCAATCAATCAATCAATCAAATGTTCAATCAATCAATCAATCAATCAATCAAATGTTCAATCAATCAATCAATCAAATGTTTAATTAATCAATCAATCAAATGTTCAATCAATCAATCAATCAATCAATCAAATGTTCAATCAATCAATCAATCAATCAATCAAATGTTCAATCAATCAATCAATCAATCAATCAAATGTTCAATCAATCAATCAATCAAATGTTCAATCAATCAATCAATCAAATGTTCAATCAATCAATCAATCAAATGTTTAATTAATCAATCAATCAAATGTTCAATCAATCAATCAATCAAATGTTCAATCAATCAATCAATCAATCAATCAAATGTTCAATCAATCAATCAATCAAATGTTTAATTAATCAATCAATCAAATGTTCAATCAATCAATCAATCAAATGTTCAATCAATCAATCAATCAAATGTTTAATTAATCAATCAATCAAATGTTCAATCAATCAATCAATCAAATGTTCAATCAATCAATCAATCAATCAATCAAATGTTCAATCAATCAATCAATCAATCAATCAAATGTTCAATCTATCAACTGATCTATCTGAAATTCAATGAATGAATCAATCAATCAATCAATCAATGAATGAATGAATCAATCAATCAATAATTTTATCAATCAAATGTTCTATCTATCTATCTATCTGAAAGTTCATGAATCACTGAATCAATAAATCAATCAATAATTTAACATAACTTACCCTATTCTCTCCTGTTCTGAGACCTCCAGTTTTTCAGCCTTCTCTATCACCTTCAGGATGGTGTCTTGTTCATCTCGATTCAATCCTTCACTCTTCTGAAATTTTTTAGCAGAGTTAGTATGGAAAGACCAACCTGTCCCTAGTCTAAAGAGGGTTAGAAAGACAGAAAGGAGGTACATATTTACGTGTACTGTTATCTCCTCATGATATATAACATGTACATGTATTTGTTGTAAAAAAACATAATTCTCTCTCTCTCTCTCTCTCCCTCTCTTTCTATGTCTGTACCTCTCTGTCTCTCTCTCTGACTGTCTCTCTCTCTCTGTCTTTCTTCTTTATTTAAACTCTTATTAAGTTAGGTCAATTTTTAAGTGTGTGAAAAATTAATTTGTCGCTTGGTTTACGTTTTAATCAAAGCTTTCTATATCTTAAAGTATTTAACAAAGGTCTTAATTCAACCAGTCCAATTTTCTTTCTTGAATTACGGGAAAAAAAACAACATTACTTTTACAAAATATTAATAATTTAGTTGTTAGCTGGACCTATCATTTTGTCTCTCTTCTCTCTGCTATCTCACTTAAACTTTTTCCACTCCCCCCCCCCCCCCCCCCCCTATAATTTCCATTTCAGTAACTGAGAGCGAGGAGGGTGTTATAATCCTATAAATCATGGTATTTATCTAAAACATCTGCTGGTTATGCTTTGTTTTTGTCTTGTATTGTTTTGTTTTGTTTAGAGGGGAGAGTGTGTCTCCAAATACCCTTGGATCCCTCAATGGTTAGTGTAGCCTATCCGATATGCATCGGGCTTTACAAGTATTCTAATCGCGTTTAATATGGAGAGTGACATCAGCGCGGGCGTTAGCCTGAGCTCCTATCATCACTGGTGCATGCGAAAAGTTTTATTTTCTTTTATGTACCATGTTTCGTTTCCTAGAAAATCTACGAACCCCCTGTAAAGCTCTTTCATGAATATTTATGTAGCATGGACCAAAATAGGCAAATGAGCGATGGGGAACCTGGAGATGATATAAATCAAAGTGATCAATCACCAAATAAGGCTAGTCTTATGAATCATGCATGAGAATACGCTCATCACACATACGATACACGTATGTGAATAATGATGAGTTCACCAGTGATGATAGGCGCTCGGGCTGACGCCTGCGCCGATGTCAGTCTCCATAACGCGATTAGTACACTTGCCGTTTAGCCCGACGCCTATCGGATAGGCTAGGATTAGTGTTGTATATACTTACTTTGCTCTTAGAGCCAGCTGTCTATCATTTGGACAGGTCCATCTATCCACAGCATTTCCCCCTGCAAACTCCCCCATCCTTATTGTGTGGATGGAAGTGGTAGTAGTGGCAGTACTGACGGTACAGGCAGTTAAATTATCTCTACTTCTAGTCGTCTTCTAAACGTCCACTGTGGAGTAGTGTGTCAGGGATCTTGCCAAGGTTATCAAGTACTCAGTTGTTCCCGTTGGCTCTGATCAGTAACCCTGCTTGGAAGTGGTTGCCTTGGTAACGGATAAGAGAAGGCGGTCCATCAAGGTGATACAGTGGAGGACCTCTCGTTGCGCCTCTCAGCTCAGGGTGCGGTTGTTCAAGATGCTGACTGAGCTGGATGAAGAAAACAATAAAGAAATCAAATTATAGGAGTACAGATTTTAGTGTACAGCACAGGTCTTCTAATTAAAATTACGAAACTAATAAATGCCTTATACTGTTTTCACACTGGCAATATTTTGCTTAACCCGTACTATAGGTGGGGTTAAGGGGGGGGGGGGTCTTAGCCCCACCTATAGTACGGGGTTAAGCCTATTCCACTTTCTTTTCAGACTGGTTTTTACCAAAGTGGGCTAAAGTTGGCTAACCCCACCTATAGTACGGGGTTAACTAACCCTGCAAAATAGCAGGGCTAACTCCTGCTAACCCCGCAATTGCGGTGCTAAGCAAATGAATGAGAACAGAAACGAAAAATAGTCCGGTACTACGCAATGGAGCGTATCGCAGCTGGCCAGATGCGAAGTATGTCCAATAATAACATTCACGATATCCGGGGTTAACGAAATGCAGTGAGAACAGCTGGAGTTTTCTTATTCCAGAATAGGCGCTAGTACGGGACTAAAAACAGCGAGTGTGAAAAGCCAAAAAAAATAGTCCGGGGTTAAGGATAGTACGGGGCTAAGCAAAGTACGGGGTTAAGCAAAACCAGTGTGAAAAGAGTATTAGTCACACCTTTGCGTATTTGGCTTGAATATTGCTGCGTTTTCATGGTAATTAAACCATTTTAACATTTATTCCTATTTCTTGATATCAAGAATTACCATTGCTTTACAACAGAATTAATTTCTTGATATCAAGAATTCATTTCTTGATATCAAGAAATAGAAATAAATGTTAAAACGGCTTCCATAAATATGCAGCAATACGCAAGCCAAATACGCAAAGGTGTGACTGAGGCATTACAACACTAGACGAAGGTGAAGGCGGGTGCCTTACAGAGTCATTGACGTATTGCCAATGCAAAACGAGTATCTGGTAGCTTAATTTGCATGGGAAGAGGAGCATTCAGTAATCAATGGGTTCACTTGTATCCTTTATCACCGAGTTCTAACTATATTACGCTCTAGCTGACCTCTCAAAAAAAAAGTACAAGGGTGGAATTATCTACAATTAAAGTTTTATAGTTGCAAATAAATACAAGTTTGGAAGCTTATGCCATCAATGCTGTGTGGTACTGTCCTACTCATTGATTATCTTGTTTGCATATAAGACCATATCAATGCTTCACAGAAACCACAGGGCAACCCAATCTACAAACACATGTATACTGTTTGCAATTTAAGACACCACAAGAGCACTCTAGTGTATCTAGGAATGTACCTGTGGTATCGAATGAGATAAACACTATATATTCTTATTGATTCTCATGATTATTCTCCCATCATGTAATGGAGTCTATTCCACGAGCTATAAGGATTCAGCCAGCATATATAGAGTCATTCAGGAATAAATGATGTGACCTTTTCAATGAATTTTGCATTATATTATTCATCCATTAGAAAGATTATTATCTACATATATGTATTCAATTTCAAATTAAACAAATTCTAGGCAGATTAAATATTTATTTACAAGATTAATCACAAGTCTTGTCATCTAAACAAAAGTAAGGAGAACTTGTTTTTGTATATCTACTTGTTTTTCTTTCAGTTAATTACCCATTAACCTTTTAAGAAGATTATTATACCAATTCAATCCAACAATACAAAGTTCGAAAACCTTAACCAATTAATGGACTATATAAACCTCAACCCATAACAGTAAAATTTGACTCACACTGTAACAGAAAACAAAATGTCATCCTCGTAATAAATCACCATTTTGCATGCAGCCATGTTCCGAGCATGAACCCTCACACTCTAATACTCTTTTCACGCTTGTTTTGCTTAACCCCGTAATTTGTACTGTCCTTAACCCCGGACTTACTTTTGTGGCTTTTCTCACTGCAATTCCTTAGCCCCGTACTAGCCATGGCCATGGAATTCATTAATTCGCTCCACTGCGTAGTCCCGGACTATTTTTCGTTTCTGTTCTCATTCATTTGCTTGGAACCGCAATTGCGGAGGTAGCAGGAGTTAGCACCACAATTGCGAGGTTAGCCCTGCTATTTTGCAGGGCCAGCTAACCCAGTACTATAGGTGGGGCTAGCCCACTTTGGTAAATACGAGTCTGAACAGAAAGTGGAATAGGCTTAACCCGGACTATAGGTAGGGCTAAGACCCCCCTTTAACCCCACCTATAGTACGGGGTTAAGCAAATTTTTGCCAGTGTGAAAAGAAAGTTGAATAAGCTTAACCCCGGACTATACGTAGGGCTATTAAAAATACCCTTTAACCCCACCTATAGTATGGGGTTAAGCAAAATATTGCCAGTGTGAAAACACTCTAAATTGCTCATTTCACACGGTACATCAGGCAATGAGGTATAAATATGCATGATGGAACACAAGTTTACCCTCCGCTGAAATGTCAACTGTGTAATCTAAGGAATAGCCAAGGTATACATGTACATGTTGACGTGTTGCTACGACCTGTAATAAACTCTAAGGATGCGAGCTTAATTGCTTTTAAGGGAAATTCTGTGAGCTTTACTTCCCTTGATTTAATCATAATACACCCTAGTTGATGGACATATATAAAGGGGTCTGTTTCGATGATCGAAACTTATTTCTAGTGGATTTGCTGATATTTACTCTTTTTCTTGTTTATTGAAAGATACCATAGGTTTTTCGGTTTACGGCCGTTTATAGGTGGCTATTTTTAGCTTCGAAACATGTCAGAAAACCCGAGGCACAAGTTTCGACCGAAGGCTTGAAATTTCAACCGTATGTGCAGATTTCGTCAAGCTAGAAGTTTGGCCGACTCTCATTATGTTTAAGAAAGTTTATAGTTCCTGCCCAAGAAGTAAGTTTGCTTTAATATTAGGTTTAATGACTTTATGAACAAATTACTAAAATGTGAAACGAAAAGTGAATTCTCGTGGTTTATGTTCATTTGCATTTAATTTGCATATTTCCTGTCGCTGCAGTAAGATATAAGAATGCGACAAGTTTCGTGGGAAAAATGAGATATGAAAACAAAATATAATCCTTATAATGGAAAAGGGTATGAAAGGAAATAACTATCGAGATGAGGTCAAGCTGTTTTTATTAATAATTCTTCAAGAATTTAATGTTACTTTCCTGTGTTTAAAAGGAGGTGCAATTTACATAGGTTTTGAGCATGAAACCAAAACTGAAGTTAGCACATCAATTTGTTGCATTGTTTACATCAATGAGTGTTTTTGTCAGGGGCTTATGTTTATGAAAGCTTATAAATCTGTACAACAATTATTAATGGAGAAATCAAAAAGGCATGAGGGATTTATATGTTAACTGAGTGTCTGAAATGAATCAAACTGGGCTAGGTTATTTTAACTTGGTTAGAGAAAAGTTATGCAAGAGTTGTGATGTGCATAATAATATTGCAAGTTGAATTTTGCTCAAGTTGAACTTGATATACATGGCTTGAGATTTATTTTCCAATACAAAAGGATTACTGGAGTAGTTTACACTTTCATATTTGCAAGGTAATTATTGCAGATATTTCATGAAGATAATTATGATTTAGACTACATATGTATCTGATGACTAGTGGTCATGATGCAAGATAAGATACAACAGTTATTATTCAATAATGACACAGAGAGACATGTTTTGATAGTTCAGTCAAGTTTATTATTTATATAAGAAGTACAATTCAGAGCTTCATAGTCTAGACAAATATGTATTCAGTGTTAATCAAGGTACTGAAGGTACATGTCTAATTTCCGGTTCAATTTGTTTGTTCTTTTTATGCAGATTGAATTATATATTCTTCAACATCTGAACTGCGTTGTTCGACGACATTTGACTCACATCGTTGGTCATTTGATTAAAGTACAAATCAACGCCATAATACAATTTCGTGCAGAGAGTCGTCTTTTTGTTCTCAGCAAACCATACTATTCAATTTCTGCTGGAGCTTCGCTGAATTATTACGATGGCGGAGGACAAGAAGTCACTGAAACTCAAGAGAAGGGGAGCGAAGGCCAGGTTTACACGACACAGCAATGGTCTTCAGATGTTGCTCGACAACAACCGAGTAGAGCCAGAGGTTCAATCTGCATTTGACAAAGTTGAGCAAGCATTTGAAGCATTACAAGAAGCGCATGAAAATTTCGCTTTGACTCTTGATGATGATGCTGAGTTTGAGACAGAGGAGCAGTGGATAAATGATTGCCAGAAGGAATTCATGGAACTACAGATAACGGTCACTGATTACTGTTCTCAAACAAGCCCAGACGTTAAGACACCAGCAGAACAAGTATCATCACAGTTTGAGATGCCGCCGGTAGAGAGAGAGGCTTCTACACCACCGGAGTCTACAAGTGCGCCTCCACCTCCAGATCAGAGTCCAGACACTTCTCCAAGCATGGCAGCTGCCAGGTGTAGTTTTAAAGTGGAGAAGCCAAAGTTGCCCAAGTTTGCTGGAGATGTTCGGGACTATGAGATATTCAAGTCAGACTTCATTCACATGGTTGAATCGCAGTATGGAAAACGTGATGCCATGACAATCTTGAGAAGCTGTCTAGTGAGCCGTGCACATGATATTATCCAAGGGATAGGAAGTGATTATGACACGGCATGGGAGCTCTTGGACTCTATGTATGGCGACCCCAGAATCGTAGCAGATACTATCATCAATGACTTAACCAAATTCAGACCCTTGAAGGAAAACGAGGATAATAGATTTTGTGAATTGGTTAATCTTGTAAGAAGAAGCTACAACATCCTCAAGCTTGTGGGGAAGAAGAGCGATATGGACAACAGTCATATGCTAGCCACCATAGAAAGAAAGATGTGCCCTAATGACAGAAAGAATTGGTTTAGATACCAAGAAACAGAGAAGCAAACTGCAGGTCTTCAAACTTTGTTGACATGGTTAAACCTAGAAATGAAGGCACGAATTAGATCTTCAGCGCCATTGAGATCCCAAAGCGAAGGCCGTTCAGCAAACGTCAACCAAATGTCAATGAAAGAGAAGAATAAACCAGCCTACAGTGATAGACGTCATGAAGATCAGCCACCGGACCGAATTCAAAGACAACATCGATGCTGGTATTGCAAGACGGATGAACACTGGATCGATCAGTGTAAGCGCCTGACATCTATGGGTGCCCCAGAGAGACTTAAGTTCTTCAAAGAAAACAGATGCTGCTTTAGCTGTTTGAAAAAAGCAGGGAAAAATCACTTCATGGCAAACTGCAGAAGAAGGCAGAGGTGTCCAGAGCAAGGGTGTACTTACTACCATCATCCTTTGCTTCATATGGAAGTGGGTCACCAATCAGAGAATGAGAGCAGTAAAAACAACGTTAACGTTGCAACTACTGTCGGAGCTTCACTTCTGCCAATCCTAACCATAGACATTGCCAGTGATTTACAGACAAGAGCAAATGTTCTGCTAGATAGCGGCTCACAAGTTAGTTTGATCAAGAACTCACTAGCAGAGAAACTCCACTTGACTGGTACCAGAACTAGAATCACCATTAAAAAACTTGGTGAAGTTGAGGAAGAGTTGGAGACATTCAAATACAAGTTGCCGATTCGGGAAGCGAATACATCCAAGAAACATCAGTTCATCAAAGTTGTAGGTGTACCTTCAATCACGGAGGAAGAAGCTGTAAGTGTGAAAGACCTAGCAGATCAGTTCGATATTCCCAACCTGAATCGAGATAGTGGACCTGTAGAAGTTCTGATAGGCGTTGACTATCCAAGATACATTGTAGGCGGAAAACTGAAGAAGAGAAAAAACTGTATCGCAAGAAAGACTCCGTTAGGATGGGTAATCTTCGGCGGCACAGACAAGAGAACCATTTGTGTGAATGTGCTACATGTCGCAGTCCAGAACCCCGATCTGTCAGAATTTTGGCGACTGGAATCACAAGGGGTAGGTTGTCAGTGCCAAGAGACTACCAAGCTAACCAAGCAAGAACAGATAGAGGAAGAAATCATCAGAGCTTCTTCGCAGAATAAAGGAAAGAAATGGGAGATAGCCTATCCATGGCAACGGGATCCTCATGAACTCCCAGATAACAAAAGTCAAGCAGTGAAAATACTGGAGTCTACTGAGAAGAGACTTGCTAGAAATCCAGGGCATGCAGAGGCCTATAACAAGCAAATTCATGAACTGGAAGAAATGGGATTTGCTAAGAAACTAACAGCAGCAGATATCAAGAATTATGAAGGGCCAGTTCATTACATATCACACCATGCGGTTGTGAGGCCAGAAAAGAAGAGCACCCCTCTCCGAATAGTCTTCAATTCATCAGCATCATTCCAAGGTCATCGATTAAACGAGTACTGGATGAAAGGCCCTGATCTCCTGAACAATCTGATTGGAGTACTTCTGAGATTCAGGGAAAACAAAGTGGCCTTATGCGGGGATATATCTAAGATGTATCATCGAGTATCAATCCCAGAGAGTGACCAACATGTTCACAGGTTCCTATGGAGGGACATGGATGAGCACAGAGAACCTGACATCTATATGATGAAAGTTGTCACGTTCGGTGACAAACCTGCACCTGCGATAGCCCAGACTGCCCTTAAGCTTACAGCAGAGCAAGGAGAGAGTACACATCCTCAGGCAGCTTCTGTTTTAAAGAGGAATGTGTACATGGATGATATTTGCGACTCTGTAAGGACTGTAGATGAAGCCAGGAAACTCAGTGCCGAGATGGATGAAGTGTTGAATGAAGGTGGCTTCAAGGTCAAAGGGTGGATTTCTAATGAATCAGATGTCGGAGACCTCACCCAGGGAAAGATGAAATTGTTGGATGAGATAGCTGAAGAGAAGGTCCTTGGAGTAGTTTGGGACAGAGAAAATGACACCTTCTCTTACAAAGTAAAGCTGAAAGACAGTGTAATGAGATCAGCAACAGATGGAGAGAGTCAAGAAAAATTGACTAAGAGAAAGATCCTTGGTCAGATTGCCCACATATTTGACCCCATAGGATTTGCTGCACCAGTGATTGTTAGAGCAAAGATAGGTATGCAGAAATTGTGGCAGAGAGGCTACAACTGGGACGATCATCTTTCACCAGAAGAAGATGCTGAATGGAGGCTTCTGTTTGAGGAAATGAAAGGATTGAATGGAGTATCACTAGAAAGATGCCTTACTCCTCCTGATGCTCAAGGCAAGCCAGTGTTGTGCATTTTCTCTGATGCTTCCGAAATTGCATATGGTGCTTGTGCATACCTGAGATGGCAAACCAGAGATGACAGGTATGAGACTCGCTTCATTGCATCAAAGTCAAAGGTAGCACCGTTAAAGGCATTGACAATACCGAGATTGGAATTACAAGCTGCCGTGTTAGCTGCCAGACTTTACAAGTCAATCACCGAAGAGATGAGACTATAGAGGTCGAGAAAGTAGTGTTCTTCACTGACAGCATGATTACTCTGCAGTGCATCAAGTCTTCAGCCAGGGTATATAAGCCTTTCGTATCAAGTAGAGTTGGGGAGATTCAGACTCTCACTGACCCATCAAGTTGGAAACACATTCCTGGTGAAGATAATCCAGCAGACAAAGTTTCGAGAGGAATCGCAGTGAAGGAACTAATGGATGAATGGATGTGCGGTCCTAACTTTCTCCACCTCAATGAACCAGAGTGGCCAGTGGACAAAGCTATAATCGATCAGAATCTTGAGAATCTAGAAAGACGAAAGACTCAGACAGTCTTAGTCATCAACATGACAGTCAACCCCATCGAATGTGAACGCTTTTCAAAATGGCGAAAGTTAGTAAGAGTGACTGCCTACGTTTTCAGATATGTGCAGATTCTCAAGTCAAAGCTCATGAAAGCATCCATACCGGAAGATGATGTAACTTTAACTCCTGGAGAATTAGAGAAGGCTGAGCACTACTGGACGAAGGAGGCTCAGAAAGGTCTGAAGAGCAGATTTGAGAAAGGAGAATTTAAAACTCTCACTCCTTTCCTTGACAACAAAGGAATAATCAGAGTAGGGGGTAGAGTGGAGAACTTAGTGACATCCTACGAATCTAAACACCCAGCTCTGCTGCCAGCTAGCCATCATATAGCTCTTCTAATCACACGTCATGTTCATGAGATGGGACATCCGGGAATTGAGACAACAACCGCCAAGACTAGACGTAAGTTTTGGATTCTTCAGGGACATCGTCTAGCTAAAACTGTTAAGCATCGATGTGTGAAGTGCAGGTCAGCAGAATGTAAGCGTGAGACACAGAAGATGGCTGATTTGCCCAGCAGTCGCGTAGCACCCCATACTCCACCGTTTTATTACACGTCCTGTGATTATTTTGGTCCATTTCAAGTTAAAGTTGGTCGTAACAAGAGGGCCAAACACTACGGTGTAATCTTCACATGCCTAAACACCCGTGCAGTTCATCTTGAAATCGCGACTGATTGTTCAACAATGGAATTTCTCCAAGTTTTAAGGAGATTCTTCGCAGTGAGGGGACAACCAGCTCAGATTCTTAGCGATAATGGTACCCAATTTGTAGGAGCTCAACGCGAACTTCGCGAGATGATATCGGGATGGAGTGAAGATGAGCTCAAAGATTTCTGTGCGGAAAACAGGGTACAGTGGAAGTTCATTACCCCTGGTGCACCCCACCAAAATGGGTGCGCAGAATCGCTCGTGAAGAGTGCTAAAATTGCAATCAAGAAAGCAATCGGTGAGCAGGTGCTCACTCCTTTTGAGTTGTTAACATGTTTTCTCGAAGTAGCTAATCTCATGAATGAGCGACCGATAGGACGGAAATGCAATGACCCAGATGATGGAAGTTATTTGAGTCCCAATGATATATTGTTAGGTAGGTCATCTAGAAATGTTCCTCAAGGTCCGTTTAAGCAAACCAAGAATCCGCGTCATCGCGTAGAATTCATTCAGCAGATAGTAGATTCCTTTTGGAAGCGGTGGTCGCAAAACGTCCTACCACTTTTAGTACCATGCAGAAAGTGGAACGCAGATCGTAGGAACGTTCGTGTAGGAGATGTTGTAATGACTGCAGATAGTAATGCAGTACGTGGAAAGTGGACTATAGCTAGGATCATTCAGGTTTATCCAGGACCTGATGGTAAAGTTCGGAATGTGAAGCTAAAAACTGTTTCCGGAGAGTATCGGAGACCGATTACAAAACTAGCAGTAATTTACCCAGCAGAAGGTTATATTGACTAGATCGAACTGAACAATAGAGAATGAGTTCTCATTTGAACTGAGACTGTTGATATAATATATGTAATGATTCACATGCATGTAATCATATGATATACAGTGTATTTGTTTTGAGAAATTTCAAGCTTTCAGAAAGACTCCTCATCCGGTGGGGCGGGAGGAAGTTTCGATGATCGAAACTTATTTCTAGTGGATTTGCTGATATTTACTCTTTTTCTTGTTTATTGAAAGATACCATAGGTTTTTCGGTTTACGGCCGTTTATAGGTGGCTATTTTTAGCTTCGAAACATGTCAGAAAACCCGAGGCACAAGTTTCGACCGAAGGCTTGAAATTTCAACCGTATGTGCAGATTTCGTCAAGCTAGAAGTTTGGCCGACTCTCATTATGTTTAAGAAAGTTTATAGTTCCTGCCCAAGAAGTAAGTTTGCTTTAATATTAGGTTTAATGACTTTATGAACAAATTACTAAAATGTGAAACGAAAAGTGAATTCTCGTGGTTTATGTTCATTTGCATTTAATTTGCATATTTCCTGTCGCTGCAGTAAGATATAAGAATGCGACAAGTTTCGTGGGAAAAATGAGATATGAAAACAAAATATAATCCTTATAATGGAAAAGGGTATGAAAGGAAATAACTATCGAGATGAGGTCAAGCTGTTTTTATTAATAATTCTTCAAGAATTTAATGTTACTTTCCTGTGTTTAAAAGGAGGTGCAATTTACATAGGTTTTGAGCATGAAACCAAAACTGAAGTTAGCACATCAATTTGTTGCATTGTTTACATCAATGAGTGTTTTTGTCAGGGGCTTATGTTTATGAAAGCTTATAAATCTGTACAACAATTATTAATGGAGAAATCAAAAAGGCATGAGGGATTTATATGTTAACTGAGTGTCTGAAATGAATCAAACTGGGCTAGGTTATTTTAACTTGGTTAGAGAAAAGTTATGCAAGAGTTGTGATGTGCATAATAATATTGCAAGTTGAATTTTGCTCAAGTTGAACTTGATATACATGGCTTGAGATTTATTTTCCAATACAAAAGGATTACTGGAGTAGTTTACACTTTCATATTTGCAAGGTAATTATTGCAGATATTTCATGAAGATAATTATGATTTAGACTACATATGTATCTGATGACTAGTGGTCATGATGCAAGATAAGATACAACAGTTATTATTCAATAATGACACAGAGAGACATGTTTTGATAGTTCAGTCAAGTTTATTATTTATATAAGAAGTACAATTCAGAGCTTCATAGTCTAGACAAATATGTATTCAGTGTTAATCAAGGTACTGAAGGTACATGTCTAATTTCCGGTTCAATTTGTTTGTTCTTTTTATGCAGATTGAATTATATATTCTTCAACATCTGAACTGCGTTGTTCGACGACATTTGACTCACATCGTTGGTCATTTGATTAAAGTACAAATCAACGCCATAATACAATTTCGTGCAGAGAGTCGTCTTTTTGTTCTCAGCAAACCAGGGTCTGTTTGACTTTTAGCCTCTATTATACCTTTTAAAATCCTGTTTATATGAGCAGGGGCGGCAGAGCATATTGCAAAGTGGGGGAAGGGAGCCAACAAAATAAAGGGCACTTTTTTGGAAAAGAGCTAGGACAACTAAAAAGAGTAATCTTAGGATTAAAGTTTTATAATTGTAATTGGGTTTTAGGTTCAGTTTAGTTTGGGGTTTAGATAATAAGGGATAAGGTCAACTAGGGTTAGGGTTAGGTATAAAGTTTGGTCCAGGGTACAGTAAGGAATTTGGTAAGTGTACAAAATTGCTGATGAACTAATCATCACTGAAGCATGTGTCGTTGCAACCCATTCAAATGTTTGAGAATTATAGATTATAGGCCTAGGTACAACATAGAAGGGGGGATGAGGCATCCTTGCAGATTTTTGTTTAATATCTTTTGTTTTTCAAACCACTGTTGAGTTTGCACAATTCTTCTGGACCTTATAATTTCAAGTCCCCAAATTGCTCTCTGGCACCTGTGCATATTTGTCATGGAGACATGCAGCTAGGCTACACCACTACGGTATTTAAAGGTGTGATTTTATCCACTCATCTAACAATAATGTCCATAATGATGAATATGAAGTGTTTACCTCACTTGACATTTAGAAATTATACTTGTCATATGATTAATCATATTGACATTTACAGTGCTGCAGAAGGTGCATAAACCTTGGTGGGTGTTGAAATTTGCAAATGGAATCGTATGTTATCTTGTTTCTACAGATGTATATCTAAGATTTAGAGACAAGATAACATACAAATCTATCTAGCGTGTGACTTTTAATTGCACCTACATGTACAATAATTGTTGTATATATAATTATCAGAGGGAATAGACTTCAGTGTTATAGCCATGCCCTGTAGATCAAGAATTAAAGATACATTTTGCTTCAAAAATGAGAAAGAGGTAAAAACACTATTAGATATTAAAGAGACAGATTGGAAATTAAGTGATGGTGAGTCTTTCCATTATCAGTCTATTTTGCATACTGTTAATCAAGTTCTGCTTGTGATTGATTATATTTGTAAATTCATTTCAAACCTTAATATCATGCTCTTTCTAATTACTCACAGTCCCCCCCCCCTCTCTCTCTCTCTCTCTCTCCCTCTCTCTCTCTCTCTCTCTCTCTCTTTCTCTCTCTCACTCTCATGATGGAGCATGTACCATATCACTTTTTTTTTCTAGTACAGTCATCCTTTGCAAACACTTTTTTCGACATTTCAACTGTACAGTTAAAAATTGCAAATTAGTCAATGGTATATCATGTAAATATTCTTGTAAAAATGTTGTACAATTCAGCCACGAACTGTACTGTATATTTCTGAATAAACAAACCATTATTACAGTATAGTATAATTATAAATTCTCAACCCCTATTAAATTTCATTTCATTTCATTTCAAGTAACTGCAGTAAGTAACCTTTTATAATGTATAAATATGCAAATGTCTATTCAATAATCGATTGGGCTGGAATATTAATTTGATTTAAATTAGTAATTTGCCTTTGTTGTTTACAACCATTACGACTGTTTGCCACCAGGATGGTTTCCCATTTCCAGTTGTCAATATTTGCACTGACACTGTGTAAACAAGAAAGATTCTAATAGCTTGTTCCTGCACGTGTATACAACAATCCCATGCCTGGGTTTAATTGTAAGTTAATACATGTTATGTCCCAAATGTATTTAGAGAACATCATCAAGCTAATTTCATGCACAAATGATGTACAGCGAACCTGATCATTATAATTTAAAAAAATATAAAGTTTGCACAAACATAGAATAATTTGCTTCTCTGTGTTATGAATATCCTTTTTTGGCTGTTTAGATATTTGTAAATACACAAAAACAGTATTAAAGTGCTACATGTTGAATGAACCATCAAGTAATTTATGTTAATAAAATTATAATTATAGTTTCAGTACACAGCGAAGTAATTTCTTCGGCTTCCCAGGGGTTTGGTATAACAGGGGTCCATGTTATCTATACGTACAAATACGTACACGTAGACCAAGAATATCAGAAATTACATGATAAAAATGTTAGAATTTTCATCAGATTATGCTTTCATATTTGCATGCCTGTGTTATTTAAAATCTATGGTTTTACATCTACTCTTTTGTCTCTCTCTCTCAAGTCACTGGATAAAAAGTTTTCAAAAGGACTGCATGGTCCCATATCACCAATAAAAATGTGTATTGCATCAGTCTATTTGGACAGGTATTGGATAACAGAAAGTTGGTAAAAAAAGGCACATTAGCGTGCACATTAGTCAGCAACACAGATATACAATACATTTTTTGCATAGTCTGATTTTACAGTTATAGTTGTTGTTAATGGTGATGAGTGACCAACCCATCATGTAACCTAATGTACTTATTTATTTAGTCTTATTTTACCAGGGGGGCTTCATCAGTAAAATTCCATCACTGTTTTACAAGAGGGCCCTGACACTTTGGGATATGACGTGTTATGATTCATCAAACAATGACAGTGTAGAATAATCATTTAAGCAATTAGCTCACTGCCATATATATTGCCTCATTAATAAAATCAATAATATCCTTCAAGTCAAACAGCATATTTTAACAGTCACTGATGCACATATCAAAAGCTGCATGTAGCCCCTACATGTATATGTACCACTTCCAAACAAAGCTTCTTCTTTGTTTAAGGGGGCGCAGGTTTCATTCACAGAAATATTTCATGATTGGTAATCTGGGCACACTATTCAAAATTCACTGTTACAGAAGCAAACATTTTTTTTTTGGGTTAAGTTAAAGTTAAAGAAAAAAATATGAAAAATTAATTAGCATTTGGCAGATACCAGTATATTTTAATCCTGGAAAAAATCCAGTGCAACTAAAGCCATTGCAACCCCCTCCCCTTTCCAATGAGCCTATATGTACATGTACAGTTTAAATGTACATGTACACAGGGCATTTGCAAATCTTCACTATGCCCGACCTCAGTCAACCCGTATAATTACTTGTAAACTGCATAATCAATATAGATCAATTTGCATCCTAACGAGCCTCAAGGTTCGTTTAATAAAACCAATATCTTGTTTCCATCGGGTGTATTTTCAAGAATTACAAGTGTGCATACAAGTCATACACTCCATGTATATGAATACAAACGGTTCCTGGCAAAGCAGCTTATTCTGTCTAAATATGTAAGGTATATAAAGTATAGGCTCATCGATCATTTAAACCTCCAAATCTTATAATAATAATAATAATACAAAAGATTTATAAGGCGCCAAATCCACTGGACAGTCAAATGCTCAAGGCGCAGCTTGTGCAAAAGATGAAATACATGATATAAAGTGCAATAGGAAAGGTACAGACATGAAAGGTAATGGTAATCAATTAGAAGCTGAATTAAACGGATATTTCTTCAGATTGTTTTTTAACACTTCAGCAGAACTGCTATTCTTAATCCAAAATAAATCCAAAATACCTGCTGAAATTGGGTCCAAAAGGTGATGAAAGGGAACTTTGTAAATGTATGGCCACCATAAATTAGAAGAAGGATATATGATTTGCCTACAAAAAGACCTGAAATTTAACCTTTGCCAGTGAAAAGTGAGACCAATGTGGGTTGAATTCTGTTTATTGTGCTGGTATACTATGAAATATCAGATTTTCCATATCAAGGACAATGATCGATCACAGGAAAAAGGTCACCAGATTTGATTATTTTCCTATCTTTGATTTTCAGGGATTTATCTCTCAGTAGGTTGGTCTTTATTCTTTCTTTGACTTACCAATAATACAAATGAGGAAGGGAAATCAGACATTAATTATTCATAATCAATCTTATTTAACAACCATTCGTTGAGGAATGGTTATTTCATAAATTGATAATGTCATTTCATTTCAAAATAATTTTCATTAACAAACAGGAATTTATATCATGAAATGCTACATGAAAATTTGGTGAACAGTCATAAAAGGTCAACACTCTTGATTCATCTAAATCACTGATTTAGTTATCGCTCAATTGTTATCAGTGATTTCAATCAACTTTTTTGATATATCAATTTGATAGAGCTGCTCATATGAAATCTGATGTTTTTTACATACCCAGACGAAAATACTGAACGACCATCTTCACTCAGTAAATATGCACATGTATATGGGCGTGCAAAGCTATAACAATACATGCATTTGTGTCAATTTGTTGGTACAAGTATAAACACTACATACAAATATATCCAGGACAGCACAATACACATATTCTTGAACAATATCCTCGGATGTATTACACTCATCAATCAGAATCAAATTATAAAAAAAAAAAACCTCCACAAAAACAGGTCTACTCACCAAATATTACTCTTGTTATATCACCTTTATCCTAATACAGTTGGTTTAATACATGGAAAACCTCTTCATGTACGTGCATGTACCAATTTGGTAGTCCAATATCACAGTATCTAATAATCCACCTGCCCCAGATCAATCCTTATACGCTCGTTAAGAAGATGCACGCTACCGGACGGACGGTCAAAGCATATTCATAAACAGCACTGGATCATAACATGCACCCAGCATACACGCTCTGCTGATCGCGGTGGTTGTGATTATGTACCCAGCGCATGATAGAGAGAGAGCTAGGGAGCAGACCGAGCTGTCAGCTAGCGCTGGCAGTGGGGAGATGGGTAATTTATGCGAGGCTTAATTGGCAACGTCTGGAGCGGTGCGGGCACTGTGCGGGCGCAGTGACGGTTAAGACACAGGCACTGATTATTATGGACACATCTGCGATCGGTCGGGTTCAGGCTTGAAGGCAGCGCTTAAGATTTGTAACCTTCAAATCTACACAGAATATGACCTAAATGTGCCGGTACATTTACTGCATGCTGTACTACTACGTGTAGTAATAATAATAATAATACATGAGATTTATAT